GTCTTTATACACACCTTTTTTATTGAGGACTTAAATATGCATGAATTAACAGAGTTTCCGAAAACCAAATATTTCTATCAGTCATTCGGACTGATGACTTAATGTGCTCTACCGGTCCGAAGCATATTCTATCAGTCCAAATAAATTTTAAAATATACAGTGTATATTTCATGTCAAATGTAATTCAAAGAAAAAGGCATTGAATATGTAGAAAAAATTGTGGACAAGCATTGATTAATTGTTATAATAGGGTTATGCAACTACATGTATAATTTATTCAAGCATGGCACCAGCTCACACAGGCTTGTGGCAGCAATAAAGTGACTAGCCCTATGTATATGTTGGGTGAAAGAAACAACTAATTTTAAAAAAAAAGTTAATTCTTGAAACAAAAAACTTCTCAGGGTGTCTAGAATTCTTTTTAAAATTAAAAGTTTAATTCTCACTTGTAATATAAATAGAAGTTATGATAGAAATAAGAAATAAATTTTAAATTATCTTTACGTTTTCTTAGTGGGCATGGCACTTTTCGACCTATATATACTGCATGCGTTTACCAACAGAAGAATGGAGGAAATTCGGATTAGGAAAAAAACGATTGTTTTTGGAAGTAAATAAGTCAAGAAGAACTGCAAAATGGATAAGATTATGGATGTTAACAAAGAAAAGGAGCTTACTGCATTGCAAATTTACATTTATGAAGATATTGCAATACATTAGAGCACAATAAATTAATCAGGACAAGCCCTCACCACAATCGGTCACACGGACTGGTACTGTAGCGAATTTCATCGGACATTTCGATTTTCTATCGGTTTTGCCGGTAGGACCGATAGTTTTGGGAAACTCTGATTGAATTAGCTTGATTTAAAAAAAAAATCAGTCTATGAATCATTTCAATGCAACCCCCGATATATTTTATTTTTCTAAATATTACATGATATTAGTAAAATTCGTCATTTGTCGCCTTTACCCCCCCCCCCCCTTTCCACGTATAACAACGTCGCGTTGAAAGAAAGCATGAAGAGAAAATTATTTCAAAATGTAAGAATTATTTATTTTTTAGAAACTAATACAGTATTGCAATCGTTTTGTTGATGTTATGTACACCCATGGCGACTTATATTTCATGTCTAGATAAATTAAGTGCCAATTTTGTGTTTTGATATGCCCCCTTGTCACTGCAATAAAGGCTACCTTCAATTTTTTTTTCATTTTTTATAAGAAGAATGAAAATTGCATGATATATGTGAAAAACAAAACATTTCATCATGTATTTTTTTTAAATTTTCAATTTCTTTGTTTATTGGAGGGTTTTACTATGTAATTGTGTATAAAAACACAAAAAATGGTCCATATCTTGACAGTGCCCCCATTTGACTACAATACAGGCAAGGTCATAAAATTTCATTCTAATTTTTCTTAGCATAATACATACAAAAATATTTACAAAAATTAAAATTTTTTATCATTCCGTTTTCGTAATTTTCAACTAGATCGGGCCTCGTTAAATCATGTTTGTGCAGTGCTCCAAGTTGCGACTAAAACAGTCGCATTTGCGACCCAAAAATTGGTTTTGCGACTAGAAATTAAAACTAAGTCGCATTTTCGCGACTGAGAAAATTTGGGCTGGCAACATCCATCTTTTTATGATCGGGATCGATATTTACATTTTCAAGATTCTCTATCAAGACAACGTTTGAAGATAAATACTTTAACATACTTTACAAAGCGTCGTATGGACTTAGATCTCATAATGTTATGACAGCATGCTGTAATAGCTAAGTTAGAACCAGAAACGTATTTAAATAACGTTTCTGAGAGAATGGCATCCAAACGTCGTAAAATTTCTCTGACCTTGTTATTCGAGCATTTGGTCAATGGCTTGCATATCACAATTAAGTGTTTTGGCAGCATTGATAACGACTGAGTTATGGTTAAGATACTTAGTAGTAAGTAAACAGGTAAACATGATAAACAATTGGCAAAGTCCTGTCTCAAAAACTGTCAAAGTTATATTTTCTTTTGATTTAACTCTAATTCTGGGATCAGATTACCTGTGTTCTTCTGTGTACCTATACTATACAAAGGGGAGTTGTATTTAATAAAAATTTATCCTTCAACATATTCAAGTAGCAAATTCAAGTAGCAAAAGATTTCTACTCACAGTAATTAATTATCTTTGATTTAATAAACACATAACACATGTGGAAGTAACTTCATTGTTTTAATAGTGCTATATACATGTTTTAATCATGGCGAGTGAAAAAATTGTTAATGGCGACCAGAAATTCTGAAATGGCGACCAGAAAAAATTTTAGGTCACCATTTAGCGACCTAAAAGTAAGTGCGACTTGGAGCACTGTTGTGATATGACCATTGACTCAGTGGACTTCAAGTTTTTCTCGAAAAGATACAAAAGTTATATCATAAAATTATAATTTTTTAAAAGGTTTATTGGTTTTTTACTCCATAATTTTGGAAATCAAAATAGTATATTTCATTTTGTATGCAAACTTTGAGGATAAACTTGAAAAAAAAGTGAAGTGAAGACCCACTCATACATTTCAAAACATTGTTTTAAAAAGTGTGTAGTGTTGTTATGATAGTCGCTGACTATCGAAAAATCGTCGTTTAAAGGCCCAGATTGGCGACAATCGATTGTAAATATTATCATCGATAGATCACTATATTTTTCAAGCCGTATTTCTCAAGCCGAGCAGGTTTAACTTTTATATTCACCAAAGGGACATCACTCTAATCAGCAGTAAACAAAATGAGAACGTGCATGGTGAAGAGGTTATAATTATTATATCCATATCCTGGTGCATTGTCTTTTTAAAATACTTCTAAGGATGAATAAATCTAACCTTTTATAACATTTAAAATTATCAATTATATAATTATATAAGTGATTGTGTTCTTCCGATTCAATTTGATAATAGTAAATTTGTCCAATTTTACAACACTAAAAGTGTGAAAAAATGACTCAATTTGCCCTTTTTTGCGTGTGTATTATATTTTACAGGCCAAAAACTTCAATCTTCATGAGATATGTATAAGTTGTAGATATTTGACAGATTTACATAAAGTATACTTTAATTTTAGATGAAATATTTCGGAAAATTTTGATACAATACTTGATATCGCGATTACTTAACTTAGCTGAACTCTTTCATGAAGGAGGTAGGAATCATCTGTTGGGTGGGAGCAATGTGCTATTCAATACAATTAATGCAAGATCGATCATTGTAGCATTTATAAGGACAGATAAGTAAAAAATCCTGGTGGAATACCTCGCTCGACAATCGCTGAACCAGCCTTATACATTTTTGAGAGGAGCCAATCCTAAATTGTCACATTTTTAAAGATATGTTTAATTAAGCGGACTCTTATAGTTAAATTTTCATTGAAAATCGTCACATTTTTCAGTATATAAAATATTCTTAACTTTCCTTATTTGACAATCTACTATTTGGAATTCAATATCTGGCAAAACATCGTGATTTTGGCATTAAATTGTTCGAATCATTCGATTGTCACTAATGTAAACAATGTCATTTGCCCCCAGAAATTTAGACTTTTCTTGACTCCCTCGCAAAAGAGCGGAGGTAAGTTAGATAACTGCGAGGTACTCATTGGTAGTCGCGACATAACATATTGAGATTTAATTTTTTCACCTTCATGTTTGTTGCGCTATAGGCTTATCCCTTGTTATGTTCTCGGACTCCCATCTCATTTATCATCCAATAATAAAATACATTTCCAAAGCATGTGAATTATATTTAGATGATAATTAAATACATATGATAAACAATAGATAAAAATTGATATTTTTGTCCTTTCTACTCTTCATGCATATAACATGTATAAAGTCCACAACAATAAAATGATTCATTTGATTTTTGTTAGGATTTGTTCATCGACATCCAACATATTGTTTACATGTTTATGTTACGTTTGTCCCAGAAATCCTGAAAGATTTGTACACTCTGCAACTTTTTTACAGAGGAGCGCACTAAAATCTTAAACTCTTCCATAGTTGAAATAAGACGTATTGGTAAATAGATTTTGCCCTGTAGTCCATCTGGCTGTTTGTCCTCAAAAACTTTAACCTTGCTCATAACTTTGGAGTGAGTGGGGCTATGGCTTTCATATTTCACTGCTGTACACTTGTATTTCTTGTGACAAGACCTTTCTTTGGGTACCACCACCACCAAATTTGACCTCTTGACCTTGAAGTTTGACCACTTTTACAAAAATATATCACTCTTCAACCTTAGTTATAACTTATAACTTTTGCACAGTTGGTGTTAGGGCTTTCATACTTCTCATTGGTATGTTCAATAATTTTTTTGACAGGTCTGCCCAAGTTTTGTATTAAAACGCTTCTGAAACTCATCTGTAAAAAACATTTAATATTGTTGGCCGATTTAAACATTTCGGGAAAATAGCAAAAAAAATGAAAACGTGAAAAAAAAAAAACTATGAGGTTCGGAGAGTAAAATGGAGGATAGGTCAGGTGACAGGAAACATGAGTACAGTCATGTATATTTTTTTTGCCCCGGTATAGTGTCATATTTGATATTATATGGAATATGTGATTTGCAGCACATTCTTACTGATATTTCTTTAAATTACAGGTATCCTGAATTTTTGTCAACTTCTAGCCAAGATCCTGTACTTAAGCTGAATGTGGAGGACAGATGTACACACAGTACTAGTATAGAGGGTAAGTAGACCATAAAAAAAAACAAGATGTGTTTGTGAAACACTATGCGCCCGGCGGCAACAAAGTTTGGAAAAAGCTATTTTTAGCATTAAGGTCACAGTCAAGGTCACAAAGTCATTGACCTTGGTGTCATTTGAAAGAGGTTGATTAGTGGAGTATGGAGTGGACTCCATGCCACTAAACTGGAAGTGAACACCGCAGTGAATATTTTACGTAATTGAAGAAAAGAAAAAAATTGTATGTAAATCTTCATGTACAATATTATGTTTCCATATGTGATCAATTAAAAAAAAATATATTTTTAAAACAAAATAATGCCTCATCAGGTCGGTAAGACAAGCTGTTTGGCTCTTTGTTGACTTGGCTTTTCAATGATTTAAATTTGGCACCGTGTAAAAATAGAATTATCTGTCCCTGGTACATATCGTCTTACAAGTAAGAAAAAGAATTGATAACTTTTAAAGTTTTCTTAAATATGTTTAAAATAACTGAATCAAAATATGTTGAATAATTATTTATTTTATTTCATTTGAACAAGCTTTCATCATCATGATCATGTTCATAGACGTCAAATATACACTGCGAGATTTACTTCCAGTTTAGTGGCATGGAGTCCAGGATGAGCTGTTAAAGTGGAAAAAGGGCCAGAAACGGCCTGTAGTCGTCAAGCAGATTGGATTTCTTAACTTGAATAAATAGTAAAACGCTCCGAATACTGAATTTGTTGCGAGATTTTTTAGGCCAAGCCCAGATCTATTAGTTTAAGTGTGTCCCCCCAAAACATATTGCCATCATGGTGTATTTTAGTTGAAGGTAGGAAAATTTCTTTCCGGATTTTTTTTTTTTTGACGATAAGAACTTCAGACTCCTGTCCTATAACATTTTTAAAAATATTTATTGATTTTTTTTAAAGTCACTTGCCCACGGGCATGTACCTATTAAAAAAATTCACTTGCCTCCCCCCTTAAAAATTCACTAGCCCCGGGCGTCGGGCAATGGGATTTGTCAGACCCTGGTAGTGTAGATTCAAGCTTGTTCAAATCATGACCCCCCAGGGGTAGGGTGAGACCACAATGGCCGATCAAAGTTTTACATAGGAGTATATAGGAAAAATCTTTAAAAATCTTCTTCTCAAGAACTACTGGGCCAGGAAAGATGAAACTCATGTGTAATCATCTTCAGGTAGTGTAGATTCAAGTTTGTTCAAATCATGACCCCCGGGGTAGGATGGGGCCACAATAGCTGATCAAAGTTTTCCTAGGAGTATATAAGAAAAATCTTTAAAAATCTTTTTCTCAAGAACCACTGGGCCAAGAAAGATGAAACTCACCCGGAATCATATTCAGGTAGTGTGGATTCAAATTTGTTCAAATCATGACCCCCAGGGGTAGGGTGGGGCCACAATGGCCAATCAAAGTTTTACATTGGAGTATATAGGAAAAATCTTTAAAAATCTTCTTCTCAAGAAACACAGGGCCAGGAAAGATGAAACTCATGTGTAATCATCTTCAGGTAGTGTAGATTCAAGTTTGTTCAAATCATGACCCCCAGGGGTAGGATGGGGCCACAATGGCCGATGAAACTCTTTCATAAGAATATATATGAAAATCTTTTTAAATCTTCTTCTCAAGTACTTCAAAGCCATGATTAGTGATATTTATATGGAATCAACCCCCTTAATGTATATTTTAGTTTGTTCAAATCATAACCAACGGACCCCCCCCCCCCCCCCCCCCGCCTCTCAATTTTTCAGTTTTGACCTGATCTGTGCTTTTTCCTAGACAATGTGCTCAGGTGAGCCCCGGTCAAATAAAAAGGTCAAGGATTAAAATCATTCCAAGGTCCGAAACATCTCGATCTTGTCTCACAAAAGGGACATCAAAAATTAAAACCAAAATCAAATGTTACAATGAAAACAAGACTCACCGGGGTAGGGCGGTGCCACAATGGCTGATCAAAGGTTTACATAGAATATATAGGAAAAATCTTAAAAAATCCACTGGGCCAGGAAAGATAAAACTCTTGTCGAAGCATCCTTAGGTGGTGTAGATTCAAGTTTGTACAAATCATGACACCCGGGGGTAGGGCAGGGCCACACTGGCTGATCAAATTTTTATATAGAAATATATAGGAATTTTTTTTTAAAATCCTTTGCTCAAGATCAGCAAAGCTATGATTGTGATATTAATATGGAAATATCCTCAGAGTTAATTCAAGTTTGTTCATAACATGATCTCTTGGGTTTAGGGAGGGTTAACGAGGGGTCACAATGGGAGATCAAGTAATATGTAGGACAAATCTTCTTTTCAAGTATGGCAAAATTTAGCTGCAGATCTGTAGCACTATGGTTTTATAATTTGTCTGACTCTAACGCTACAGGTCCCGTAATGCAAAAAAGGTGGAATTTACGGGGCATTGTTTGCGCACTTTTGGGGAAAATTTTTCCATTTTCTAGCATTGGTCAATCAACTACCTTTCCATTCCTAATTCTGGACTTATTCTGTATAAAATAGTGTATATTTTATCCACCTCCCAACCATTTTTAGTTATATCTACAGTTAAAAAACTCACTTGAAGTGAATTTTCAGCAGTACATGTATAACATATAATTTTAATCAAGCGAGTTCTCAAGTATTAAAAAATTTCATCCCCCCCCCCAACAAGTAAACTTCAATACTGAGCTGACTTGTGTTTTTTTAACTAGCCCATGTGCTCAGGTGAGCGATGTGGGCCCATGGGCCTCTTGTTTTCATTGTAACTTTTGATTTTGGTTTTCATTTTTGATGTCCCTTTTGTGAGACAAGATCGAGATGTTTCGGACCTTGGAATGATTATAATCCTTGACCTTTTTATTTGACCTTAATTCAAAATATTGCTTTGGAATTGACAATATATGATAGGGAATTAATATTTAACACAATATGCTATATATAATAGCACCTTACAAACTAAGACACCGAAAGCGAGGGACCACAATTATTTGAATTTGCTTGATTACATTGCTTTAAATGCTCAGAAATGATGTTTTCTAATTTCAGGTATTATCTCGGTACCTTAAAACTCCAAACGACAGGGAGAAGAAGAAAACTGCATATTTCCGATGTATCTTCACAGCAACATGACCCAAAGCACTACCATTAAAGGATTTGATTTGACATTAAGGAAGTAAAAAAATGAAGGCATTAGTCATAAAGAAAATTAAAGAACTTTATGTCTGAATATTATATCAACAATACCATAGATCTAAAGATGGATTATTTTGCCTTATAATTTATATTAATGCATGTACATGTAATTTTATTCTTTTTATATATACAATCATGTAGTGTTACCATTTTTCACAAAGCTTAAAAAGTTATGTAGGGCCACACCAATTTAATTTCTTGTTTGTCGGACATTTGATTTAAAAAAAGTACAAGCAGTTAAATGATAATATTATTACTCTTTGCTGGGCAATTTTTTAGGCGGAGCGTGAAAATTTGAGCGGACAATTATATTTTTTCTGATTTACAGAGTAAGCAGATATAAAATACAATAAATAGAGCGGAAATGGAACAGAAAATAGCACAGAATTCCTATGGTGCGAGAAATTGAAATTAATATTATTTGTATGGTTTTGTTTAAATAAGCGCGTGGGTCCGACGAACAAAAATTTTCATTAGTGTGGCCTAGATCATTTAGATTCAATTCATTTTTTTCTTCAAATTACCACATGCCAGAATTCATAAGAAGGAAATTTATATATGGCTGGTGGTTGTGGCCACGGCGTTTTAGACTCCCATATTGATCTCCTTTAGAAGGACCGAGCTGCTAAAATTATACAAAAAATGACCAAATTTTAAAATTAAAATGTACAGAATTTTTCTTTGCCAAATGATAGTTCACAGAACCACAATTCTTCAATCATGTCTACTTGGAGATCAGTGGATGGATATTCATATACAATACACAGCTGAAGCAGGTTTTGTTAACTTATGGAAACATTTTCACAAAGGAATGCATTAAATTTATATAGGTAACCACAAATTTGATATTTGCTTGAAATGATAGGGGAAGAAGAAACTGCATATTTTTTAGTATGATTATAAAGGAAATTTGATTTCAAAAACATTTTTAGTCATAAAGAAAATTAAAGAACTTTATGTCTGAATATTATATCAACAATTTATAGATCTAAATGGATTATTTTTTTAATTTATATTAAGCATGTACAGGTAATTTTATTCTTTTTATATATAAATCATGTAGTGTTACCATTTTTCACAAAGCTTAAAAAGTTTTGTCACATAAAGCCACACCAATTGTAATTTCTTGTTCGTAGGACATTTGATTTAAAAAAAGTACAAGCAGTTAAAAATAATATTATTACTCTTTGCTGGGCAATTTTTTAGGCAAAGTGAAAACTGAGGTAGGACAGTTTATTTTTTCTGATTTACATCATGACCCAGATATTGGAAATGGAATCAGAATAATAGAATCTTAGAAATTTATTATTTGTATGGTTTTGTTTAAATTGACGAACAAAAATTTTCATTAGTGTGGCCTAGATCATTTAGATTCAATTCATTTTTTTCTTCAAATTACCACATGCCAGAATTCATAAGAAGGAAATTTATATATGGCTGGTGGTTGTGGCCATTTTTAGACTATATTGATCTCCTTTAGAAGGAGAGCTCCTTATAAAATTATACAAAAAATGACCAAATTTTAAAACTAAAATGTACAGAATTTTTCTTTGCCAAATGATAGTTCATAGAACCACAATTCTTCAATCATGTCTACTTGGAGATCAGTGGATGGATATTCATATACAATACACAGCTGAAGCAGGTTTTGTTAGGTTATTTTATTTTCAAAAGGAATGCATTATTTTCTTCAGTCCATTAATGTTAAGCTCTTTAATAGAAACAATTGTAGAAGATTTATCATATTTTGTTTAGAATTTTGAAGAATTTGTTAATCACTCAGTGAAAATTATCCCTTGTCATAATACAAATTTTTAAAATGTATGTACAAATACTTTTATGTTGAAATGACCATGCAAGGAAGAAAATAAAACAAGTTTAAGTGTACACTTTATGCTTTTATATCCAAATTGGCTTCTGTGGAAGGAGAAAGGTTCATATAATAGTATATTAATTAAAGGAGTACATAATGTCCTTTAGAATTTCAGTAAAATTTCTTGACTTTCATGTTAAGGTCATACGCAACGTAGTTTTAACTTTTTTGGATTCTGCCTTGGAGTTGAAGAGTTCCACTAAATGAAGGGCCTGTGTGCAATATTTTTAATGTCTATATATGGATTTGTACACCTCTTCTTAAACAATTTTTGATGGAAAAAAAATCTGGAATTCATGTTTTATAATTTTTGTACATTTTTATTTAAATAATGCAAAAATTTTCAAAATTCGATATCTTTTCAAAACCCCTGGAAACGCATGCTGATTTTTTGTCCAAGAACATTTAATGATATTATAAGTTTAAATTTAGAATATCTTGGAAAATTATCAGTAGGTAAGGTACGTTGTGTATGTCCTTAATAGACATGAATTTAATTCGAATGGGGGTTGCATTCCATTCCATCTTGTTTTGAAAATGAAAGGATTAACTTCCATTGTAATTGTCGTACATCTCAATACATTCATATACTAGAATGAGTAGATTATATAGAAGAAATTTGAGAAAAAAAGGAAAGGAAGTAAAAGTCAATACATGTGAATAAGGCCACACTGTCCGTCGGACATTTGATGAAAAAAGTACGAGCGGGGTAGCGGTTAAATAATAATATTATTACTTTTTTGAAGGCAAAATTTTAAGGCGGGGCGTGAAAAAAATTGAGCGGACAATTATATTTTTTCTGATTTGCAGAGTAAGTAGATTAAAAGTACGATAAATAGAGCGGAAATATAACAGAAAACAGCAAAGAATTCCAATGGTGCGGGAATTTCAAATTTATATTATTTGTATAGTTTTGTTTAAATAAGAGCGCGCGGGTCCGACGAACAATAAATTTTATTGGTGTGACCTAATTCCTAGCTGCAGAACTGTAGCGTTGTGGTTTTAAATATTAGTCTTGTCCATAAAGCTACAGATCCCGTAATGCAAAAAAAAGGTACCATTTACGGCTGAAGATTTTTTTGCGCACTTTGGGGGAAATTTCTCCTTTTTCCAGCATTGTTCAATCAACTAACTCTCACTCCCGAATTCTAGACACATTCTGTAACCAATCTGTATATTTTATCCACCTCCAAATCCTTTACAGTGGTAAACTGATTTGATTAGAATCGTTTGTTAAATTGCTGAAAATACACTTCAAGCGAGTTTATCGCCTGTAGAGACTGCTATCAGGCATGTAGCATCTTTTTTGAAAGTTGGGGGGGGGGGGCAACCAGAGAATTTTTTTTTACTTACCTGTAAAAGTTGACAAGCATAAAAAAAAATTCCCAACTTTTTCCAAGGCCAACTTCCTTTTACTTCCAATTTTTTCGCATACAATACATACAATACTACATTTCCTTCATATCACTATACGGTGGTAAGAATTGGGGGGGGGGGGAACCAACTTTACAGTGGACATTCTCAATAGTAAAGGTAATGTTGGGGAAAAAAGTGGGGGGGGGGGGCTAGGCCTCCTCCTGGCCCCCACTGTTGCTACGTCCCTGACTATAAAGAGTTGAGAGGTGGATAATATAAACAGATTGTTGAAAGAATGTGTCTAGAATTAGTGAGTGAATGGTAGTTGATTGATCAATGCTTAAAAGTGGAGAAATCCCCCCCCCCCCCCAAAACGCAATGTTTTCACTCAGGACCAGTGGCTTGCGCAACTTCCTGAACTAGTTTTGCAATTGTTTTCATGCATCAGGACCAGTGGCTTGAAAATACACTTTAAAATTTAATAGAATGAAAAAAAAATTTAGCATCGTTTTTGAAAGTGGAGGGGGGGGGGGGGGCAAAAAGAAAGGATTGAACTGTAAAATGATAGGTATAAAACTATATTAAGAACTTCCAACATGCGCAAAACTACATTTCCTTGTTTTCACTCAGGAAGTGGCTTGGGGGTTTTGAATTTTTTCCTCAATAAGTAGAGTAAATGTTTGGGGGGGGGGGTTCAATAGTTTTGCTACGTATTTTTTGGATAATTGCATAAATAAAGACAAATAATAACCCCATTGAATATGTCCGTAGAAAAAGTTCTGTCCTTTATGGAGTAAATGTAAATGTCTCAATAATTTCCGAATATCCCTCGTATATTGATAATATTACATTATACCATCATTGTATTTTTTTTTAAGGTCAAGGCAATGACTCAGAATTTAGAGGAGTAAAGGGCTTATCGAGCCCAAAAGGGCAAGGAGAGCGTTGTTTTTCAATTTTAAAAAATCAGTGATCGTCATGACAGAAAAAAAAACATCAATGAAAGTTTATATGATTCAACGATTAAAACTGATGGAGCAGACATTTAAAAAGTCAGAGACATGCAAACCCAATGAGACCATCG